TAGGAGCAGCAGTAGCAGCTAAGAAACTATAGCACTAGCAGTACAAAAGGGAGGAGGGGGATAAGAGGAGGACGCTGAGTAGGATGATGATGAGGAGGGAGAAGGGGAGGATCAGCAGCATCAGGAGGGAGAACAGGAATTCGGGGATTAGACAATGAAGCCAGGAAGAAGGAGGAAGAGGAGGAGAGCGCGAGGAAGGACGGGCAGGCCAAGGCGGGCGTGGCCGGGGCTCACCAGCCGCCACCGGAAACGCTGCCCGCGCACTGCAGGGCGCGCTCCTTGCAGGAGGCACGAGGAGAAAGGAGCAGAGAGGAGGAGAAGGGGGAGGAGGAGAGAAAGGATGGGGAGAGGGGAAGAGGGAGGTGGAAGGACAGAGGATGATGAAGGAGGACTGGCTGACGCGCCGCTGCCCCGGCGGGATTCCCTCACTAGACCAACGCCACACGAAACCCAATGAAGGCATGCGAAGAGAAGGATAAGGAGGAGGAGAACGAGGAGGAGGAGGAGCAGGAGGAGGAGGACGAGGAAGAGAAAGAGGAGGAAGAGGAGGGAGGAGGGAGGAGGGGTGGAGGGAGGGGGGGAGGGGGGGAGGTAGGAGGGGGAGGGAGGAGGAGGAAGAGGAGGAGGAGGAGGAGGAGGAGGAGGAGGAGGAGGAGGAGGAAGGCAACGCTCGTGTGAGCCCCTACAGATACAGAGTCGGTGGCTCTCGTGGCCCGTGTAATCTCCACTCTGGTCTCCCATGCGTGCTCCCGCATGGTCTCCTTTATTGAAGGGGCCCCAGGACACACAAATAAATACACACAAATAAAAGGATTCCCCACATTTTCCCACATGTTCTGGGCTTTTGTCTTCCCCCCCACTTCCCATATTTTCCCATATTTTCCTGGGAGTGAACGATTAAGTGTGTGTGTGTGTGTTTTCCCCTCCTGATTTATGCTCTCCCATCTGCTCTTCCACCTTGTCTCCTGTGTGGCCTCCCGTGGCCCGCAGCCTCCCGCACGTCTCCCGTGTGGCCTCCCATATGCTTTGACGTGTGCTCTCCCGTGTGGTCTCCCGTCTGAGCGGCTCTGTGCTTTCTCGTATGTGAAGGGGCCCCAGGACACACAAATAAATACACACAACTAAAGATATTCCCCATGTGTTCCCATATTTTCCGCGTTTCTGTCTGCCCCCCACTGCCCATATTTTCCCATATTTTCTGGGGAATCGAAGATTATTTGTGTCTGTGTTTTTTTGTCCCTCCTGAGTGTGGTCTCCCGTATGCACAATACAACGCAATGCTCCCTACGGGGTACTTCTACTGTTCCCCAATCAGTGCTTGCACGGAAGGGGTCCTCGCGGATGCTGAAGTATTTGGCGAAAATTTCCCGCCGATGTTGGTTGCTGGCTGGGTTCCCAAGTTCCCGGTTCTGGGTTCCCGGGTTCCCAGTTCCGGGTTCTGGGCCGATTTAGGAGGGCGGCGAAGTTCCCGGATTCCCGGGTTCCTGGTCAATCTTCTTATCGATCGGTCTCACCATCGATCTCATTACCCACTTCTCTATCGATCTCACCATCGATCTCACTATCAATCTCACAAGCGATATCACTAGAGATCGCATGAGCGATCTCGCGATCGATTTCACTATCGATCCCATTGAATCGATTTCACTCTCGTTCTCACGATCGACCTTACAGTCGTCCTCACTATCGATTACACTATCGGTCTCACTATCGATCTCAAGATCCATTGCATTCATTTTCAAATCATCCACTGATTGGGTTTTCTCAGGTACAAATTGATATTAAGTTGCCAGGGTGTCATGTTGCGTCTAGACACCTGTATGGTGGATGAGGTGAAGGTCTGCTCATTCTCCTCCTCCTCCTCCTCCTCCTCCTCCCCCTCCTGCTGCCCCTCCTCCGCAAACTGTAGGGCCCACGCCTGCAAGAGGTACGAGGAGAGGACAGAGGAGAACGTCTGCTGGCTGCTGTTCCTCCTCCTTCTCCTCATCCGTGTCCTCCTCCTCCTCCTGCTCCTCCTCCTCCTCCTCTTCCTCTTCCTGCTCCTCCTCCTCCCCTCCTCCCCCTCCTCCCCCTCCCTCCCCCCTCCCTCCCTCCTCCTCCTCCTCCCTCCTCCTCCTCCTCTCCTCCTCCTCCTGCCCCTCCTCCTCCTCCTCCTCCTCCTCCTCCTCCTCCTCCTCCTCCTATTCCTTTCGTCTGAATGGGTCTTCCTTTGGTCTGCATGGCTTCTTCAGCGTAGTGCACACCCCTGGCAATAATACCCTCTGGCATCTTTTCGCGGACACCCGAGTTCCGAGTTCCTCCTCCTCCTCCTCCTCCTCCTCCTCCTCCTCCTCCTACTCCTACTCCTACTCCTCCTCCTCCTCCTCCGCCTCCTCCATCCGCGCGCTGCAGGGCACAATCCTGCAAGAGGTACGCGGCCATAGCGTTGGCCACCACCGACCCAGTGAATCCCACCTGGCACTTGTCGGGAGGCACCTCCGCGCCCAAATCTATGCGGATGCTGCACCTCTGGGCGATGTCCGCGAGGTGCCCGTGCGGGACCAGCGCCTTCGACAAGAGATCCGCTGGCAACAACAGAAACAATTGAGACATGCACTGCCCGGACATGTTGGACTGCAGCGCCGCCCGGAACATGGCCTCGTTGCCACCGATGCCTTGGCCCATGCCGCCGAAGCCCCCGCACATGCCTCCCATGCCACCCCCCATGCCGCCGAAGCCCATGCTGCCCATGCTCCCCATGCTGCTCACGGATCCCAGGCCACCACCACCTCCCAGCGCGCCCATGCCGCCGACGCTGCCATCTGGCCCGAAGGACATCACCGGCCCCTGCGCGGCAGGGCTGAAAGACGTCGCCGAGGTGCCCGACGAAGCCGGGCCGCCGCTGGGCCCAGCGGGGCTGAAGCTGACCTGCGTGGCCCCACCAGGGGCGGAGCTTGCTGACTGCCCCGAGCTGCCGCCGAAGCAGCCGCCCCCGCCGCTGGGCCCGGCAGCGGACGCCTGCGCAGGCGCAGGGTCCGGCGCGAAGCTCCTCTGCCCAGGGCCGCCGGCCTGCGCGGGGGCGGCACCGAAGCCGGCGCCCCCCTGCGGCTCCGCCCGGGCGGCCGGGCCTGGGCCCGCGCCCGACCCCAGCGCCCCCGCGGGCTCTGGCCTCGGGAGCGGGTCTGCCGGGAAGGCGCCGCCCGCCGCGGGGTGGTACGGCGCGGCCCGCGACGGCGCCGGGTCGCGGCCGAAGCTCGTCTCGCCTGCCGGGGCGCCGTCCCCACCGGTCGCCCGCGGCTGGAAGGCTGGCTGCGAGGGCGCCTCTTCTGTGGCAACTCATGGGAGCCTCCCATACCATCTTGCTGGCTCTTGCGAATCGACTCTGCTTGACGCTCTACGAAGCTGATCGGCGCTACATCGACGCTACATCGACGCGCTTCTCATCGATGAATGACCACACGCCAGCACCCGCCAACGCACTGTAAGAATAGGATTTCGAGGGCGTAATTACCAGGCTCCCGTGATTTGCTACCAAACGCCTCCATCACCTCTGGCTCCCCGAAGCTCACCGCCTTCCGCTCTGGAAGCGCCTCGCGGTGGCCGGGCGTCTCTCGCGGTGGCGCCGCGGGCGAGGGCTTCCCCCGGCTCCAGGGGTCGCACTGGCTCCAGGGGTCCGAGTCGGCCTCGGCACGATGGCCAGCGGCCGCTGCCGGGGCTGGCCGCGACCACACGTCGCCCGCGAGAGGTCGCTCCTCGCGAGCTGCGGCGGCAGGAGCGGCGGCCACGAGCGGTGCGGGCCCGTCCTTGGCCACCTCCTCGACGCGCCTGAGGAAATGCTGGGCCGCCTTCACGCGCGCCTCGATGGTGCCCAGCAGGGTGCACAGCGCCTCGCCGTGGCCCGGCAGCTCCCGGACTTCCAGCTCGCACCCCGACATCTGCCGCGTTTCCTGGATGCTGGACTGCTGCGCGAGCACCTTCGGCACGAGCATCTGCGTTTCCCGCGGCGCCGACAGCGCGGGCATGCTGTCCACAGCCATGAGGACGATCTGGACGCCCTCCGCCTTCGCCTCCGGAAGCCCTCCGATCTCGATGATGCGGTCGCCGGGGGACACGCCGGGCGGCACCTCCCCCTCCTTGGTCGAGGAGATGGATGAGGTGGAGGGGGATGACACGAGAGAGGGCGCTGACACCATCCGCTCTGCCACGGGCAGGCACGATAAACAAACAGGGACATTATGTACCAACTACGTGTCCCCAGGAGATCGCTGGCGCCACAGGGTGGTTGAAGGGCCGGGGGGCGGCGAATGACGAAGTCGTCCCCGAAACGGTCCTTCATCACCTGGATGTGAGACCCGGAATTCTCCTGCAGCTCCCGGATGTGCCGGCCCTGCTTCCCGATGATCCACCCAGCAACCTGACAGGAGGAGGAGGCGGAGAAGGCGGAGGAGGACTCTGGAGGCCTCTGGATGTCTCCAAAGACCCCACGAGGTCCCTGGAGGCCTCCAGAAGCCCCCCAGACAGTGACTCCCCGGAGGTCTCCGAAGTCCCCGCAAGGAGGCCTCCGCAGAGAGAGAAGTGAGAAGGAGCCTTGGCACGCCCAGTGGGTACGGACAAATGGATACGATGCCCAGCAGCAAATGTTGTCCAAAGACAACATCGGCCGCTAATGGGCAGACGCCTTTCTGTATCAAATGAAAAATGCCGCGGCGACGCCGACAGCAAATCCTGCTCAAAATGTGCAGGAACTGCTGTCGGTCGTCGCACCCGTTCTTTCCACACCCGCTTCGACCGCAAAAAGAAAAGAATCGGCGACTCCGAAAGGTGTGGTTTGCAAAGGGTGTGGTTTGCAACCCGCGCCCTGGGGCGGTGGGCGACGACCTCGACAAACATCTCTTCCGCGCCCCGACGAGGGCCCATCAAACCATTGGCGCCACGTGGTGACCCCTAAGCCCCAGCGGCGCCGATCGTCAACCACACCCTGGCGGAACCATCGCCTCTGCAGTCGCCGAGAAAGCGCCTGAGTAGCCACGACGAACTTCGCGTTCGCCCGGGGGTTGCCCGCGGGCGGCTGGCCGCCCCGCATGCCGCCCAGGAAGCCACCCTCTGCGGCCTCTGGGCGGGACCGAAGCGCCCCCCCCGAAGGGGACGGCCCCCCAGGAGAGCCGAAACCGTGGCCGCCCCGACACGCAACACACAGCCTGTAGCGAGTTGACACGGAGCTCGACACGGAGATTGAGAACGTAGATCTGGCGCGATACGTTCGACAAAACGCGGGCCAACACGTGCAGAGCCAACACGCAGCGTCTTAACGCGGACGTCTTGAACACGGTGCGTGGTGCGTTTCAAAACGAGCGTATCTGGGCAGGTAAGGCCGAGACCTCCATGAGGGGAGGGCCGAGGAGAAGGATGAGGAGGAGGAGGAGGAGGAGGAGGAGGAGGAGGAGGAGGAGGAGACGAGCGTTCGAGCTGTGCCAGGTGCCGCCTCACGACCCCGCGCCAAGCGGAGAGTTCGTGCGGACGGACAGGAGTGCTGCCAGAGCTGCCGACTTGAGCTGCCGTGGAGGGATGGGGCTCGGCGAAAGCGCCTTAAACCACGATGAGTCTTACATGCAATGAGGACCTCCGCGACGACGCAGGAGGAGGAGGACAAGCTGCGGGAGGAGGGGGAAGAGGCCGAGGAGGAGAAGGAGGAGGAGGAGCAGGATCCAGGGTCGGGGATAGGTCTTTGCACGTTTCTGTCCCCGTTGGAGCTTATGGGGAAGCCCTCGTCGCCGCGGCTGGGCCAACATCGAAACCCTCCTCCTCATCCTCCTCCTCCTCCTTCTCCTCCTCCTCCTCCCTCCTCCTTCCTCCTCCTCCTCCTCCTCCTCCTCCCTCATCTCCTCCTCCTCCCCCTCCTCCTCCTCCTCCTCCTCCTCCATCTCCTCCTCCTCCATCTCCTCCTCCCTCCTCCTCCTCCTCCTCCTCCTCCTCCTCCTTTTCATCCTCCCTCGTCCTCCTCCTCTCTCCCTCCCCCATGCAGGACAGGCCTCGGGGCCGACTGCAAGGCCGCGGGTCCTAGACCCCAGGGCGTCGCGAGAACATCACGACGGCCTTTGAGCTTTGCGTCCGATTCCGGCCCCGAGGAAGCCATGTTCGGCCCCCAGGGCTTTCAACAAGCTGCCCGTGCCGAAGAAACTGGTCCGAGGCATGGGGTCGAGGTCTGCGGGGCCTGCGTCTTCAAAAAACACCGCGTCGGAGGTCAGGGGCATCCGGATGCCTCTCGAGCTCCACCTTCGCCCCGCACTCCTTCCTTCTTCTCCGCACCCTTCCCCCCCCCTTCCCTCTGGCGGCGAGCGAGGGGGCGCCGCGTGAGAGGGGCACCCTTCCGACCAAGAGGGCCCAGAGTGCGAAGACCTCAGCACTCCTGGTCCTCCTCCTCCTCCTCCTCCCCCTCCTCCTCCTCCTCCTCCTCCTCCTCCTCCTCCTCCTCTCCTCCTCCTCCTCCTCCTCCTCCTCCTCCTCTCTCCTCCTCCTCCTCATCATCATCATCATCATCATCATCATCATCATCATCATCATCATCATCATCATGATCATCATCATCATCATCATCATCATCATCATCATCATCATCATCATCATCATCATCATCATCATCATCATCAGATCGAACTCTCTGCGCTTCAGGCCGCGCGCCCCTCCTGGAGGCGGGGCGGCTCCGCGGCCGCGACGGCGGAGAGCCAGGGGATGGCCAGCCTTCGCACCCCCCTGTGGGGTGACCGTGGGCTGAGACGAAGCCAGGACGAGGACAAACTGACGGGGCCCGAGGACACACGGATAAATATACACACATAACAGGATTCCCCATCTGTTTCCATGTCTTCCGGGCTTTTGTCTTCCCCCCCACTTCGCATATGTTCCCATATGTTCCCGGGGATCGACGACTCATCGTGTCTGTGTGCTTTTCCCCCTCCTGACCACTTCGGGGGACGATAGATCCAGAGCCTCTGAGATCCAGCGGCCCCGCGCGGGCCTCTTCGGGGCGACCCCCTCGCGGCCCCGCGACCCGGCCTCCCCACCGAAGGCCGCTGCGGACCCCGGGGAGCCCTGGAGCCAAAAGGTTGCCCTCCCCTCGGGGGGCGCATCCTGCACCCGCCGGTCGGAGGACGCGGGCAGAGACATGGAGCAGAAGGCGTTGGGAGCAGATTGGGCTTCCGCCCGCCCCCTGGAGAGGAGGGAGGAGGGCACACCACTCGACCAAGGCGCCTAAAGTACATTGGGATCCGGGAATTCAGGAATTCATACTTGCAACGACCGACGGGCACCTCCGCCGCCTATAGCGCCGGCCTTCCGCTGGCTTCCCCCCGCAGGGCCGCCCTCGTTCTGCTGCCGCCGCCTCCCGCTGGCTCTCCGCCAGGGAGGAGGCGCCCAAACTCCCTCGGCCATCGAAGGCGAGGCCCTTTCTCTGGAGAGCCCCCTGCGGCCACGGGGGCGGTCCGCAGGGCGAGCCGCTCGGGGCCATGCCTGCCAGGGGCGCGGGGTATGTCGGCCCTTCCCCCAGGGAGCCTGCGTCGGCACGGCCCCGGGCCTGTACTTGAAGTCGGCGGGCTGCAGTCTGCCGCGGTCGGCGAGGTCCTGGAGGATCGCGTTGATCTTGGACACGGCCGACACCACCTGGCCCCCGGTGCCGGTCACGCCGATCGGCTGGTCGTTCATGCCTATGATCCGCCACCGCGCTTGCAGCGAGTGGTTCGCGTCGGGCCCTCTTCTCTTTTCGTGAAGCAGTATTTGTAAGACCCCCCGACGCATCGAGCCCAAGATGCGCTCACTTGTGCGACCAAGTCTCTGCGTTTTTGGCCTTGGCAGGTAGAGCGCGGTCCCGAATACAACGGCTGGGCAACTGGGGGTCCGTGCCCCCCCCCCCCCCGAGTTTAGGCGCCCAGCCCCCCCCCCCCGATTTTAGGCGCCTTTTACAACCAGAAGCGCGATTCCAACCAGATGGGGGACTTTCCAGCCAGAGAGCGATCGAAATCATTCTTGTTCCTTCTGTTGGGGCAATTTTCTGCCAGAACAGCCCGGTCTGGGCTACTGTGCAACCAAACCCCCCCGCACAACCACACTGGACACGCTACAACCGGGCTTCTCAGAGGCCTCTAAAAGCTTCTCAAAGGTCTCTGAAGGCTTTTCAGAAGCCTCTCGAGGGCTTCTCAAACATGGTAAAAACTTCTCACAAGCCTCTGCAGGTTTCTCAAAAACTTCCTGAGGGCTTCTCAAATGCTTCTGGAGCCTTCACAAATGTTTTGAAAAGCTCCCCGAAGATTCCGAGACGCCTTCAGAAGCTTTTGAGTCAGCACCCAAAGGCCCTTGAGAAATCCGCAGAAGCTTCAACAAAAAAACCAAAGGCTTCTGAGAAGCCTCCGAGGGTTTCTAAGAAGTTCCCACAGGCTTCTGAAAGCTTCCAAGGACTTCTGAGGTGCCTCCATCGGGTTCTGAGCAGCTCCCAGAGGCCTCTGAGAAAAAAAAAACTCCAAAGGCTCCTGAGAAGCCTCCAGAGGCTCTGGGAAGCCTCCAGAAGCCACCGAGAAGGCTCCTGAGGCCTCTGGGAAGGCCCCAGAAGCTTCTGAGAAGCTTCCAGAGGCCTGAGAGAGTTCCCAGAGGCTTCTGAGAATCCTTTCAAAAGCTTCTGAAAAGCTCCCAGAGGCTTCTGACAGGTCTCCAGAAGCTTCTGAGAAGCCTCCTGAGGCCATTGGAAGGTTCCCAGAGGCTTCTCAGAAGCACCCAGCAAATTTTGAGGAATTCCCAGAGAGGCCTTTGAGAAGTCCCAGGGGCTTCTGAAAAGCCTTCAAGAAGTCCCCCCCCGTCGTCGTCGTCGCCGTCGTCGTCGTCGTCGTCGCCGCCGCCGCCGCCGCCGCCTCCGCCGCCGCCGCCGCCGCCTCCGCCGCCGCCGCAGCCACTGCCCCGCTGCCGTCATGGGCGTGGCGCGATGAATATTACCATCGCTCCTAATTACTACGACAACTGAGACTACAACTACGACTACAACTACAACTAAGACGACGACTGCGTCTGCTACTACGACGACGACTACGACTGCAAATGCGACGACGACTACGACGACGACGACGACGACGACTACTACTACTTCTTCTTCTACTACTACTACGACTACGACGACGACTACGACTACAACAACAACTACTACTACTACTACTACGACTACTACTACTACTACTACGCCCACGACTACGACTACGACTACTACGACTACGACTACGACTACGACTACGACTACTACGACTATGACTACGACTACGACTACGACTACGACTACGACTACGACTACGACTACGACTACTACTACTACTACTACTACTACTACTGCGACTACGACTGCGACTACGACGACGACTACTACTACTACTACTACTACTACTACTACTACTACCACTACTACTACGACTACTATTACTACTACTACTACTACTACTACTACTACTACTACTACTACTACTACTACTACTACTACGACTACTACCTCCTTACAACGGCCTCGGCGGCGACGGCTACTACTACAACAGCAGCGAGAACTTCTACTGCAAGTACTTCTACTACAGCTACTACGGCTATTGCTACTAACGCTACCATTACAACCACAAACGCTACAACTACAACTGCAACAACTACTACTGCCAGAACGATAGCTACTATTACTATTACGGTTACGACTACTACGACTACTACTACTACTACTACTACTACTACTACTACTTCTACTACTACTACTACTACTACTACTACTACTACTACTACTACTACTACTACTACTACTACTACTACTACTACTACTACTACTACTACTACTACTACTACTGTACTACTACTACTACTACTACTACTACTACTACTACTACTACTACTACTACTACTACTACTACTACTACTACTACTACTACTACTACTACTACTACTACTACTACTACTACTACTACTACTACTACTACTACTACTACTACTACGACTACTACTACTACTACTACTA